TGCCCCCCCCCCCGCGCCCCCCGCCCAGCTGAGTTCAACATGAACCATCCGCACACCAAACATGGGACCTGCACCCTGTCCTGTCCTCAACCCCGCTCTGGGACACCATACCCTGACCCCTATGGTATGATGTCCCCACTGCCAAGGCTGGGGTGTCCCCAAGCACCCACCCACCCGCTGACCCCACTGTGGGACCTCATCTCCCCTACCTGGCCAGGGGATGTCCCAGGCGCTGGGGACCGAAGATGCTCTCCCGCTGTGCTGGCGATGAGGCTGAGGCCAAGCTGTGGTCACCAGTGCTTGGTGGTCCCGGCTGGTCCTCCAGGACACCCCAGGGCTCCTGCTGCTCGCCCCAACCCGTGCTGGGCTCCAGACCAGATGCCAAGGTCCAGAGCAGGACAACAGCTATTTCTGGCTGAGAAAGGGGCGGAGCGGGGCTGACCCTTGGGACTGGGATCTGTCACCCTGCACGGAGCAGGGATGGCCCTTGGGGATGATGCTGTCACCCCGACATGGAGCAGGGCTGACACACGGATGATGAGGATGCCATCACCCTGACACAGAGCAGGGGTGACCCCTGGGGACTGGGTTCTGTCACCCTGCATGGAGCAGGGATGGCCCTTGGGGACTGGGACGGTGTCCATGCAGCAGCAGCAGGAGGTGACCATGTGCCACATGTGTGCAGACCACTCAGAACAGATCAGATCCAGGCTGGTGGGATAACAGCAGTTTATTTCCCAGTTGGATATACACGTGTGCGGCAAAGGCGAGTTGTGGCTGGTGGAGCAATGGGGGCTGTGTCCTGAGCAGGACAAGCTGCAGGGATGGGAACAGGGATGGCCTGTCTCTGACAGCAAATTCCCGGGAAAGGGAAGGGGTGATAAGAGCTCCTCGAACAGGGAATGTGCCAGAGCCCCGGCAGCCCAAACGCATCCTCCTTTCTTGGTGCCAGTCTTACCAGCACCGAGGCTGTGTCCTCTGGGTGGGTGCCTGCGGTCACTGCTTTAGTATCTCCCAGCACCCAACCAGCTCCTGCTCATGGCCGGCTGGGGACAAGTGCTTTGGGGACCCATTGCCTGCCCTGGGCACCACTGCCCTGCCCAGGCTCTGCCACATGTGTGCACCCTGCCACCCTCCTCTCCTCATCACCCATCCCGAACCTCCCTCTGGCACTGCTGCCCTCAGGGGCCTCTGCCTGCCCCCAGCCCCTTGCAGGGACACCATGTCCCAGGGACCCTCTCAGCATCACCTCCTGCACCAGCACCTCCTCCAAACCCTCTGCAACCTGTACCGCTTCCTTCCACCCCCCATAGACCCTCA